AGGATCACTTGAGGCTAAGAGTTGGAGGATGCAATGTGCTATGACTCCATGGTACTCTAAGCCAGGTTGACAGAGACTCTGTCTCAAAAAAGAAAACAGCTGGGTGCAGGGACTCATGACTGTAATCCTAGCATTTTGGGAGGCTGAGGCAGGTAGATTGTCTAAACTCATAAATTTGAGGCCAGCCTAAGCCAGAGCAAGACCTCATCTCCAAAAATAGCCCAGCTTTGTGGCAAGTACTTGTCGTCCCTGCTACATGGGAAGCTGAGGCAAGAGAATTGCTTAAGCCCAAGAGTTTGAGGTTGCTGTGAGCTGTGACAACACGGCACTCTACCGAGGGCAACAAAGTAAGACTGTGTCTCAAAAAAAACCAAACAACAGGCTTGGCACCTGTGGCTCAAGAGGCTAAGGCGCCAGCCACATACACCTGAGCTGGCGGGTTCAAATCCAGCCTGGGCCTGCCAAACAACAATGATGGCTGCAGCCAAAAAATAGCCGTGTTGTAGCGGGTGCCTGTAGTCCCAGCTGCTTGGGAGGCAGAGGCAGGAGACTCACTTGAGCCCAGGAGTTGGAGATTGCTGTGAGCTATGATGCCATAGCACTGTACCCAGGGTGACAGCTTGAGGCTCTGTCTCAAAATAAATAAATAAAAACCAAACAACAAATAAAAAACCCAGAACAACAACAAAATAACATTAAGGAAAAAAATTTGTTTTTTTAAGGACAAACCCCAAATACAAACAGTAACAGGTGATGGTGTGTGGCACAGAAGCCTACTCTTTCATTGCTGACAGTGCATACTGCACCTTGGGCCTGCTCTTGTGATGGGACCTGTGACATCTCTCCTCCTTGCAGGGCGTTATGTCTTGTCCTTTGTTGGCTGCGGTTTGGCTGTTGTGGGTACCTACCTGCTGGTGACATTTGCACCTAACAGTCACGAGAAGATGACAGGCGAGAACGTCACCAGGCACCTTGTGAGCTGGCCTTTCCTTCTGTACATGGTAAGAGAAGCCTCC